TGTTCAGAATTCGTGTTTCCTCTTTAGTATTTAGAATTCTTATTACCTCTTAAATATTTAAATCTTGTTTCCTTTTTAATATTTAGAAATCGTATTTCCTCTTTAATATTTAAAGTTCTTCTTTACTCTTTTATATTTAGATTAATTTTCGTATTTCTCTTAAAAAGATACATTTCTTGTTTCCTCTATAATATTTATAATTCTTGTTTCCTCTTTAATATTTAGATTTTATCCATAAAATTCATATTTCGTATTTCCTATTCATTATGTATAATTCTTGTTTCCTCATTAACATTTTCAGTTCTTATTTCCTCTTTAATGTTTATATTTCATGTTTCCTCTTTAATATTTGTTTCTTGTTTCCTCTTTAATATTTAGATTTCTTGTTATTTCTTATATACTGAACAACAAAAGTTCGTATGACATTGAATAAGATTTAATGCAAAGTTATGTTTTTTACCAAATCTGAAGCCATGTCTGTTTGCAACAGATAAAAGACTCCTGTAAGTGTTCAAATGGTTTAATTTGCCATACTGACTTCAGAAAATGCGTGATTTCATAAAAAAAACCATGAACATGCCAAAATGTCAATTTACAATCAATAGCGTGTGTGTCCACCTCTGGTTTGCGATGCAAGCAACACATCTTCGTCTCATGGAATGGACCAGGCGTCGCACAAAGTCCTGTGGGATATCTGTCCATATCTGCTGGAGCATATGTTTCGAAGTTCCTGGAGTGTCTGTGGTTGACGTGGTTGACGTCGATGGCGCCGATCCATCTCATCCCACATGTGCTCGATTGGTGAGAGATTAGGGAATGCTTCTTGCAGTCACTATTGCTTGCTGGAATCGATTTCGTAGGTGTGTTGTTCGAATCCAGTTGTCTTGTCGATTATTGGTTAGGCGTGGCCTGCCACTCCGAGGATGGTCTCTGACTGCATTCGTCTGATTCCAACGTTGCCATAAACACCAATGGCACACAGACGCTCATTTTCGGACAGGCGTGGCATTTCGAAATTTTGAATAATTGCGTAATTGTGTTGTTTTTCTGAGTGGTTGTTGTCAGCACGATGCTAAACAATGCGTATGGAATCCCGTGAACGCACATGTTTTTATACCCGTTCTTGGGTAGGGAAAGTCAACTTTTGCATTGAATGCATGCTTTTCTGTTGCAGTTGCGTTTTTGTGACTTGATTCCATATATGTACTGCAATATTGAAAACCAAACTTTACTTGTTTAAAAAATACACTAAAATATTAGTGTCACGGAACTTTTGTTGTTAAGTATAGTCGAAAGTAGCGTCCACAGGTTCTGATTTGGGAACAAAAAGTTACTAGGAATAATATAATAACTAACAGTAGGGAATTAGTTTCTGGTGGTCTAGGCTTGGGTTACCTAGGCGCCTCAGTAACTACGGGATGCATGGATGGCTCACCTTAGATGCGCCAGGATGCGCTGATTTTAGATTCGCCACCAATATGATCCTTTGACAGTACCATAGCCGTGCTCGCAGATGTAGTAAACCTGTACGAACTGTGTAACAGTCCTCCCCTCTGTCATTATGATAGCCATGTAATAGAACTGAACTATTGTTCAAGTTGTCTTCATCGTTGTGAATAATATCAATCACTGATTTTCCTGGCCATAACTCGGTTGTTTATAGCTGCCGTGACTCGGGCAATATTCAATCAAACGCTCAGCATAAAGAACAAGGTTTCAGGTTTAACCGCACGAACATTTGTAGATGTTAAATACTGAAAAAAAAAATCAAGGTTCAAGTATCAAACTTCCTGATGGGCTGTTTATTGTATTCCGTTGGATGCACATTGTTTTTCACAAAGAGGCTAATGTTGCTGCTGTAAGATCAGGGTTGGCTTCTGAGAGTATTTAAACATCGCTGTTATTTATTGTTCGTTTCGACGTCCGGGTCGGAATGTCGGAAAAACCGAATGTGTTGCATGTCGGAAAAACTTATAATTGCTTACCAACGAGGACAAATATATTCAGCAAAGTCACTTTCATAGAGAATTGAAGCGGGACGATAATGTTAGCGTCACAGTTTCTAAAGTATGGCATTTTAACAAAACTCAGGTGTATCTCACCCACATACAGCCCAATATCAGACATTCTAGCCTACCTTGTATGGTGGGTGTTTATTTTTATTATTGTGTATAACAAATACAAGGTATATCTATTCAAGGGCACATTTTGTATATATAAAAGGCGTTCAGTCAGGGCTGTACGCTGACCCGGTTACGATGACATTAACACACGAACAATCTTTATATGTATGTACACTAGTATTTGTGATACAGTGATAGATCACGATGACATTGTAAACAAAGTGTGGAAGGCTTCCTTCTGTTAGTGTAAAACGTCCGCCAAGGCAGAAATAATTTGCTATTAGCTTGCCAGACAGTTCATTATTCGAATTTGACAAAAGGTGGATATTTGACGGTGTCAAATCTGGTGAATACGGAGGATGTTCAATTAATTCAAAGCAAATGCAGGCATTGCGACAACATACTTGAACAATACATCTTCAGTGAGTTTTTTTCCACGATGTTTTGCCTTGATATTATCAAGCATATGCCAGAGCAGATCAGCATAACATTTGCTGTCAATGGTTTGAACTTTCGTGAGGAAGGATTCCAAGGGAATCCGAAGCCATCACCTTGCCAAAGGAAGCCCTCTTCGGAGAAGTAGAGTTTAAATGTTTCCATTGATTTGCCTGTTGTTTAGTCTCTGGCTTATAGTAGTGAACCCAAGACTCATCCATTTGCTCAACAAAACCAACTGGGTCTTCTTTGAAACAACGTACATTCTCACGAGAGATGACGAACCTTGAGCATTCTGATCATGAGGTGATCAGGAGCCTTGGAACGAACCAAGCGTGCTGAAAACTTTGTCATGCCAAGTTCATTCCTCAGAATTTTCTCAACACTCTCTTGAATATCTGGTTGAAGGATGGATCATCTTTGAGGCCTTCTCTTTCCCTCTTGAGGTGAAATGAAATGGTGTTTAACTTCGCGTCTAAGATTATTGCACTTGTATAGCGACGTGCATTCCAATGTGTGTGTCTGCTTGTACTAGTCTCCAGGCGGACGCTATACCATAAAACCACGGGGCTCGAGGCAGCCCCACTCCCTCTTGAACTGCGTTGTCCACCTCTCAACAGTGGCAAAGGAACTAGCACCATCCCCATCAGATGACACCATCCCTGATGCCTGTCCTTTCTGTTGGAGATACTTGATTACAGCGCGGTAGGGGGCACGGGTGGCCCAGTCGTCTGAGGCGCCGCGATTCGCTGTGCAGAGTTGCGTCCCTTGGGCACGTCAGAAACCTATGATTGTGGGTTCGAATCCCGGTTCGCCCTGATTATGTTTCTAGGTTTCTCAGCACCATACCCGTGCTCGTGTGTTTCACCGAAGTGGTAAACGTCTGAGACCTGCATCACTTCGGGCTTTCCTCCCGTATTAAGCTGACACGCCGTGATATAACTGGAATACTGTTAAAAGCGGCGTTCAACCGAACTCACTCACTCACTACAGCGCGGTAGCGAATTTTCATTACCAGAGGTTTACCTTCATGCAACTTCTAAAAGCTAATCTTCCAGGTCAAACATGAACAACGACGACAACAACAACGGTTATTTAGGTCAATGTTTTATTACAAAACAATTCATATGTCATTTCACAAATATGATTAAAAAAGTTGTCATATCTTGTGTTGTCGATATTGGCACAAGGAATAGGAAAAATGTGATTCACATAGACATAAATAACGCATGTTTAATACTGTCAGTATAAAAAAAGTATTACAATGCTACAAAAAGGAAGCAAATTAGCGTAAGCAAACAATATTCCTTCTTTGATCACGACATAGTTAAAAAAGTATCACCGTATATAGAGAGTACATATTTTACATATATTTAAGAAATGGCTTCTATAGTTGTTGCCTTCATTGAGGTATTAACGTGAAAACCGGGGTACATTCTGTGTACGTCCGCATAGCGGGTTTATGCAAAATGTGCACACCGGCTTTACTCCATAAACGTAAAAACATATTGAAGTCAATTCATATAAATAAGTACGCCAATCTCATGAAATTCCTTCAGCATAATAATTAAACAAAAGCCCCGCCCATATTATCAGCCAATCAGGAAACTGGGCATGTGCTAATTACCTTTCGGTTTATGGAATCATTAACGCAAACCTTATTGCTTGGTTAGCCTGTCAAATGCCGCGGAATCACTTACAATTTCTATACTATAGTTCCCAAACAAATGATCAGGATATCCCAAACAAGGTAGTACTGAATGACACAACAGAGTTTATACATTGTATACATTGTTTACTTAAATATTGTGTTCAACGAAAGGTTAAAAGCAATACAAAGCAACAGTGTTAAAGTTTCTAGCATTTGTTTTAAAAACAAAGCTAACATGTTAGACATGGCAAACGTAGGCAAGGTAATAACATAAATATTGCACCATATTATAAAGTTTAAATCGGAAACCTGATTGACAAAATATATGTAAATAACGATATGAGTCTTTTTCCACACATAATGTAACCTTGACTAACCAACTCGTACCTGTTACACACATAAACCTTGCAAGATTTAAAAATGGTTTCTGCTTAAGATTACATTTCAATTTAACGTATCTTTAATGTCTCAACGACATTAAACACTCATTCAGAACTGCACTGGATATGTCGAAAATCTCATCTCCTTCGCTTGAAGGAGACGGGCGAAACAAAGGGTGAACAGATGTTTTTAAATTTGAAGCTGCATTTCAAGTCCTGAGGATATGTCGTGGAGTGCAGACTTCCGATATGTACACTGGATCGTACTGCATCTGACATGTGATACAGGCGTCTGGTTACACATGGCAGTTGAGCTACATCTGATATGTGTTACGGGCGTCTGGTTACACATGGTGGTTGAGCTACATCTGACACGTGTTACGGGCGTCTGGTTACACATGGTGGTTGAGCTACATCTGACACGTGTTACAGGCGTCTGGTTACACATTGCAGTTGAGCTACATCTGACACGTGTTACGGGCGTCGGGTTACACATGGTGGTTGAGCTACATCTGACACGTGTTACGGGCGTCTGGTTACACATGGTGGTTGAGCTCGTCTGACACGTGTTACGGGCGTCTGGTTACACATAGTGGTTGAGCTACATCTGATATGTGTTACAGGCGTCTGGTTACACATGGTGGTTGAGCTACATCTGACACGTGTTACGGGCGTCTGGTTACACATGGTGGTTGAGCTACATCTGATATGTGTTACGGGCGTCTGGTTACACATGGTGGTTGAGCTACATCTGACACGTGTTACGGGCGTCTGGTTACACATAGTGGTTGAGCTACATCTGACACGTGTTACGGGCGTCTGGTTACACAAGGTGGTTGAGCTACATCTGACACGTGTTACGGGCGTCTGGTTACACATAGTGGTTGAGCTACATCTGATATGTGTTACAGGCGTCTGGTTGCACAAGGTGGTTGAGCTACATCTGACACGTGTTACGGGCGTCTGGTTACACATAGTGGTTGAGCTACATCTGACACGTGTTACGGGCGTCTGGTTACACATAGTGGTTGAGCTACATCTGACACGTGTTACAGGCGTCTGGTTACACAAGGTGGTTGAGCTACATCTGACACGTGTTACGGGCGTCTGGTTACACAAGGTGGTTGAGCTACATGTGACACGTGTTACGGGCGTCGGGTTACACATGGTGGTTGAGCTACATGTGTCACACAAGATGGTAGTGCTTGCTACATTCATACATTAGATGCAGGCATCTGTCCAGACGGTATCTACAACATATGGGTTAAATGATAAATGATTGCTTGTAGCAGAAAGTATATGGGATACAAACACGCCTCTCGCTTCCCATTACGGGACTCATTTGTGTAACAGGTATGGTAAACTACAACGCCATAGTTTGCTATCGTGTTCTGCATTAAAATTGCCAAAAAATCATGGAGAAAATGCGAATAATTCGAAAATAATCCGCGGATATCCTCGGATTTCTGCAAAATGCAATGTATTGTATAATAGGCCTAATTGGGAGTTTTATGGGACTATCATGCCCTTGGTTGGTTGGACGTGATACCTTTTCAACCAGGCTATAATCTAAATACATGATGCAACACTGTGAAAGGATTGCAGGTAATGGTTGATAAACACACACTAGTTTTGAAAGACATTCTTGCTATAATAATGTTGTCCGTAAATATTCATTTTGACGTAAAAAAATGATTTACGATCAACTTGCATTGTGACTCTTGTCGTGTACAAATGTGCATGTACTTGCATGTAGTAGTTTGATAAATACCACGGTGTCAATGGTGTTCATGGCAAACCACACACATGGATAGACACCCTAATCAATGTAACCATACAGTGTCCCTCGACAACAATATGAAATGCATTACGTCCACCCAGTTAATATTCCTATCCGCATTAAATAAAAAACATAATACAGTAAACTACGGTTATAACGAACACGCTTATAACGAACTGACGGATATAACAAACTAACTTTTTAGTCCCGACTATTTGCTGTAGTTATGCTGTATATATGCTTATAACGAACTCCGGTTATAACGAACTAAAAATAGTAGTCCCTTTGAGTTCGTTATAACCGTAGTTTACTGTATTGACTATGGATGATTCTGTGTGTACCACATGCTAAGTTTCATTGTGATATAACAATAGAACTTGTACATCCAAACACTGTTTATACTGACTGTTTATGGTATTACAACCACAAAGACAACCAACAAGACAGTCAGATGTATTGTATTAGACAGTCAAATGTATTGTATTAGTGTGAACTAAAAGTGTTGTCAGTGCATCACTAGTTTCCTACACCCTAACATACCCTCTTCACTATCTATTTGGTCACGTGTTCCAACACACAAGTTTAATACAGATGACCTAGCTACCTGTAAGATAGCTTTGCTTTTGCAAATACATTATTGAGACTTTCCTTATTTGGATGTGTGTAGTTTCACAAAGCATGTCCAAACAACGAAGACAATCCTGAAGTACAATTAAACACACAAAATTGCACAATTCTGGACAGGGTTAAACTGAATCCTAAAGAATGTCAAAGCAGGGCTAAACAGGAAAAAGCGATATGCACAATTTAGGTCAGGGTTAAACTGAATCCTAATGAATCTGCAACCAGAGTCAAACAGGACAAAGTTAACTCTGTGTGTCACCTTGATACAAGGGTCATGTGGTGGCATATAAACTATGATTTACACGTGAAGCCTTGTCCTGCACATTGCATATTGATATTCAAGTTTGTAGGTTACCTCGTGTGTGTTACTAAGTCGTTCAAAGAACATTACATACTTCACATGTTGTCTGTTACGCAGTACACAACTGTCCGATAAATAATCCTTGTATTTTTTTCTAGATACTGAACAACACATCCAAGTATTGCCTTCGAGAATGTATTGGGTGGTAGGCTAGCCTGTCAGTGGATGCATTATCTTGTCACGATAAGATTCCGTTTGATGTCCCATAAGAGTACAATTAATGAGAGCCTGTAGTCTGGTGCGTGTAGGGGTACCCCGTCGATATATTGCTGGAAAATGTCCTAACTGGGCGTGTATTCATATCCACCTACTGGCTCAGAAACAAAACGCTGGTTGACAAACGAGTACATGTTCTTGACTTTACTGTGGCCAAAACAACTCAATGTATAATGTGTATATAACCTTTAAGCGAAAATAATATGTTTTATTAAGTTAAATGTGTGTCAATATTGAGTGTTTGTATGATAATTAATGAACAAGGTGTTATTGTATTTACATATAGTGTTATACGTTATACAGGAAGATTATCATAGAGATATTCATCTCTAGTAACTCCAATCGAAACTTTAGAAATCCCCCACCTGACTATGTTTGGGAACGGGGATGATCCAATTCCAATCGAAAATCGAATGAAATATTGAAATGCATTGCCCATGTTTGTTTGAAACTTTGACATGAGACTTTATATAATTAACATATTCTCACTAGCACGTGAAATGCCTAATTTATCTCCAGCCCTGTGTTTTAGAACACATTGAAATGTACTCGTTGAGAGGTACCCTTAAAAGTCAATACCTTATATGTTTTTTACTTTACTTTGTTAACAAATTGCAATTTGTTTATGAGACGCTTACAAGATGTTAGTTGATGTTCATGTTGATTGTTGTTTAACGACGCACTCTGCAATATTTCAGCTATATGACGATGGTCTGTAAGTAATCGAGTCTGTACCAGGCATTCCTTTGATTGACATGCAACAACCAAGACAGCAACCCTGACCACCCGATCCCCTTTACGACAAGCATAGTCGCCTTTTACGGGTTGCTGAAGACCTTTTCTACACTGGATTTTCACGGGTTACATGCTGTTAGTAATCATAATTCGTTGTAACTGTATAACATTATATACCTTCCATGAAATATCTTCTTATTAGGTCAATTTACACTTGCATATACACACTCATTTGCCTAAGAGCAAGTACAGATACGGACAAATTTTCTAGGCGGGCTATAATCCCTGCTCATGCTATCATAATTTTCTATTTCAATCGGGGCGGTGGGGTAGCCTAGCCGTTAAAGTGTTCGCTTGTCTCGCCGACAGTCCGGTTTCGATTCCACACATGAATACAGTGTGTGAAGCCCATTTCGGGTGTCCCCGATCGTGATATTGCTGGTATACTACTTAAAGCGGCGTAAAACTACATTCACTTACTCAATTTCAATCTGATAAATAAGAATAAACATTTGTGCGTGAGTTCAAAAGAACAGAAAACACAATTAAGTATTTGTTATGGCAAATAACTAGCGTGTGTATATTGTTTGTAGCTAGAGACAAAGGCATTGAAAGTTTATGACCGGTGAATTATATATGGTTCATTCTATTACATGTATGCATCTCAACGTGCACAGGGGTAGCATTATGCAGATGGCTGTTTCAATGATGCTCGTTCAACCCGTGACGAACAGGTCTGGTTGTTGGTGAAATATAGTGATAGCTAAATAGACAGATTTTTTATTCATGCACCGATTGTCTTTAAATGTAATATCCAGTTATGTATGACTGTTTAATAATCTCAAACCAACTTTGACTGGAGTAGGTCCAATAGTTTTTCGGATATTGTAGTAAACGTCGGTACCTTAAATTACCTTCCAGACTATTATAACTGTGACTGTTCTATCTCGGGGTTTGATGCCGTGTCAGTGTGGAAGGATTTTGAATTATGTCCGTCACTTGCCACAGAAATCCAGAAAGTACTAGTGTATACAAGGACAGTGCTATTCAAATAAGCTGGTGATGCTCATCTCGTAACACCCGTAGTTGACAAGGGCTGTCAATCTGCTTGCTGGACCTACCGCCCAATCCTCTTTGTCACAATTACCGTCACAACTACCACGAGGGCGAAACACTAAGGGGTTTTATGATACACAGGACTTGGCGACACTGGTTTGAAATCAGTCACTGAAGTGAAAAGTAGGTAATGCAAAATAATTATGAAAAAGTAAAGATTTAGAATGTAATAATGGAAATAAATTGAATTAACTTTTAATTAAAATGTTTACACTCAACACCTTGCATGTACACAGGCGGGTTAAGGGATGACACTGCATAGACAACATGAACTTGTTGGACTGGTTTGGGGTTTTGTTGACTGGGGTATAGCAATTGTTACCTGTGTGAAACATTATGAAGCCGAGAGCTGTGGAGTCAAATGAGTGTGCAGCTTTTACGCCGTTTAAGCAATATTACAGCATTATCACGGCGGGGGACACAATGAATGGGCTTCACACAATGTACCGATGTGGGGGAATGGGACCCGGGTCTTCAGTGTGACGTGCGAACGCTTCCAAGTATTAAGCTCATTAACACACGAAGGTAATATTATTCACTTGTGTGTACGCCTTGAAAAAAGTATTACTTAAGAATTTCAATTATTAATAGAGGTTGTTATAGGGGTGTATTTTATAGCTATGATTGGCAGTTTATTGATAATGTTCATTAAGAGGGGTTTTCACAGGGAAGTCACTTTCTCTTATTTGCTTGAGTCGCTATATGGCTGAAATAATGCCGATGCAACATTAAATTTTACCTCACTCACTCACTCACTTATTCACTTGCTATTTAGAATTTACATCCCAATTCGATAACAATTTCTAATGTCTTGTAGTAGCTCTGTTACTCAATTCTTTCAAAAGGATTGGCTGTTATCATTGACTAATTTATGCAGTCAAACAGATTACAACTTCTTAGATTCTTACCTCCATCAACTGATTACTACTGACAGACGCTAATCAATGACATCAAACTTAGCGTTACAAATTATGTGTGGCTAATATAAACAGGTCGAGAGAGAATATATAAATGTCAACTTCTTTATAATGAGGAACACTTACTCCTCCATCAGGTGAATAAAAGATGATGAAGGAGAAAGCATATACTCTGAAAGTGTAGTGTTCCTCATCATAAAGAAGTTAGCTTCTACAAATTCTCTCTCTTATGTGTATTACTTCTAAATGACATTTAAATACTTAATATATTAACCTGTATTCATGATCCTGCATACATATGTGGTAGATAATTGTGCCCGTGAGCGATAAAACTAGTTAGTCCCATATGAGGGGCAAATATTTGCAGAAATCCGCGGATTATCAGTTTTTAGGGCGTAGTGTTTGTGTATCCATGCAGAAATTTAACATATGTCCCGCGGAGTATCTGCGGGGGTTTCGCGGCGTTGTATTGTATATGATTTACCATCTTTTCCGAGTTTTTTAATTGCCATTGTTGCATAAACGGTCACCCATTCTAGGAATTTGTATAAAACTGTATCAGTAATTTAACAATTAGATCATTAACATTGGCGACATCTATTCACAATTTCGCATACACTTGAGTGTAACTAACATCGGTTATAGTGAGTGGGTTTGGTTTCACGCCGCTTTTAACAATATCCCACTTACATTACGGCGTGTCATCTTAATGTGAGGGGAAAGCCCGAAGTGATGCAGGTCTTAGATATTCACAACTTATGTGAAACCCACGAGCACCGGTATGGTACTGACAAACGTTTCTGGCACGCCCAAGGGATGTAACGCTGCACAGGGATTTTTGTCTGTTTGTTTGTTTGTTGTTTAACGTCGCACACGGCAATATTCCAGCTATATGACAACAGTCTGTAAATAATCGAGTCTGGACCAGACAATCCAGTGATTGACATCATGAGCATTGATCCATGCAACTGGGATACGATGACATGCAACAACCAAGTCAGCGAACCTAACCACCCGATCCCGTTAGTCGCCTCTTACGACAAGCATTGTCCCCTTTCACGATATTCTACCCCGGTTCTCCACGGGCAGCACAGTGAATTATGATAGGGCTGCGCCCCTTGCGCTGTATGTGACGTACACATAAAGGGAATGAGTGGGTATGATTTTACGCCTCCTTTAGCAATATTCCAGCAATACACATAAAGGGGATGATTTGGGTTGGGTTTAACGCCGTTTTGAACAATATTCCAGTTATATCACGGCGTGTCAATTTAATGTGGGAGGAAAGCCCGAAGTGATGCAGGGCTCAGACGTTTATCACTTTCGTGAAACCCACGAGCACGAAGCCCAAGGTGCTGACAAAGCTGGAAACATAATCGGGTCGAATGGGGATTCGAACCCACGATCATAAGTTTCTAATGTGCCCATGGGACGCAGCTCTGGACGACTGGGTCACCATTGCCCCCGGGTGATGAAAGAATTGACTAGAGCTGTGGTACCTGAGAGGACTGGGTTGGTGACACCACGGGCCTCTGTAGTCGGAACTGAAACACATAAAAAGACAGGTGCTTGCCTCTGTGGTGGTGTAACTCTTGCTACTGACGAGAATATTTAGGTATCCTAAAACGTTATTCATTTATGGATATCAAAATCAAGATAAAGATTGTTTCAAAATAAACAAGCCTCGTATATGTGTGTGAGATACATTTAAACATAGGCATGGCGCGCTGAATATAACACAATCTGTCTCAGTTTGTTTGTTTGCTGTTTAACGTCGCACTCAGCAATATTATAGATATACGACGGCAGTATGTAAATAATCGAGTCTGAACCTGACAATCCTGTGATTAATATCATGAGCACCGATGTACTCAATTGGGATATGATGACATGCATCAACTAAGTCAGCAAGCCTGACCACCCGATCCCGTTAGTCGCCTCTTACGACAAGCAGCGTCGTGTCACAGTGGATAAAGACTTTGTATCGGGGTATATTAAGGTATAGTATTGGGGTATGAGGCAAGCAGTGGTATATGGAGACACTGACTCGGAGTATCCAGACACTGGCGTGGTGTGTGAAGACACCGTAGCCTATGGCGTTTCAGCCTCGGGGAACTGAGACTTGGTGACACTGATACTGGTTTGGTGTATCGAGACACTATCGGTATTGATTTAGAGACAGACGTGGTGTATGGAGACACAACCTCAGTGTATGGAGACACAACCTCGGTGTATAGAGACACTGATTTAGTGTTCGGAGGCGCAGCCAACGTTGAAATAAACAATGCTGTGTTGTATTGAGAACGGACTCCGTATATAGAGGCAATGACATGCTGTACGGAGACATTGTGTGGGTGTAATGGACACTGTTGTACTATACTCACATCTTCATCGGGCTCAAGAGTCTTGTACAGGAAGTCCCAGGAAAAGTTGGCCCCGCGATCAGGGATGTGGTCGTCCTCCCCTTGCACAGCCGAGGACGGCGTCGCTGTGAAATGGATGAAACACAGCCTTGGTTTTTGTGTTTGTTTGTTTGGTTGTGTTACGTCGCCTCGGTAATATTACAGCTACATGTATATGACGGCGGTATGTAAATATTAGAGTCTGGACAAGACAATCATAAGCATCAATCCCTGCAATTGGGATACGATGGATCAGCGAGCCTGATCACCCAATCCCGTTAGTCGCCTCTTAGGACAAGCATAGTCGCCTTTTACTGCAAGCATGGGTTGCTGAAGACCTACATTGTATTCTGCCTTGGATCTTCACGGGTCCACAGACTGTGTCGTAGCTGAAGCCGCATTCATAAGTATTCAACCCAAACACCGAACAGTGAGAAGCCTAGTCAACCAGCAGTAGAGAAAATGTATTGCCCTAACTAAACATTATTTATGAAATAAATTTTGCTATAGTGTAAAAAAAAGTATAATTTCGCCAGGAACTATTATAGTTAATGCACAAGGACACTTGGGCCCGAGATCTTTGGCGTTTTAATAGTTCAGGGCCCTGTCCCAAAAGCGATCTCAGCCGTGAGACGATCGTAAATTATTAATTAAATACTTAAATTAATATACGATAATCGTAGCTCACGCATCATTTTGTGAAAAGGTCCCAGGACAAGAAGTTGAGGTTTCAACTTATATCGTGGCAATAGTCACCATTAACGTTTGTTTGATACACCCTTGTCTGTTTCTCCTTCTCACGATTGCCAACGCCAAATGGTGTTTTATTAACCTCACTGTACGAAACTGATTAACCGATCGACAATTGATGTGGATGTGCCATTTTGATTGACAGGAATGACAATATTACAGCGTCATGACGTCAGCGAATTATAACGTAAATACACACATGCACTTGCAGGAAAATGCAGTCGGCGCCTGTGACCTTTTGGAGAAGAATTGTTTTTATTCCAGAATATATATGTAACGTCATCAATAACCGGGCTCCAGTTACGTTATCATTCACAATGGATATTGATAGTTTTTGCTGGTTATTTAATATTTTGTACTCTCTTGGACCCACTGCTTAAAATGCTATTTCATCTGACTAAGTTGCATCCATTCATGTGATACCCCAATGAAATCACATGTCACATATGTTCACAACAGATACATTTCATGTTTACATGATAATTGTAAAAACTATGCATTCGATCATTTACGCAAATAAGCAGATCATCTCGAGCCATCCAAGGATGTTTCGGGCGACACCATTGTTGTGAACATGCAACACACTATATCGCTTTGGCCTACACATTCACAGAAGGTTCTAACAACCCGAATTACCCGGATGAAACTACACCTTCCCAACCGCACCCCCTACCACCACACAATGAATTATGGGCAAGTAAAGGCACCATACCCGTGTTCGCGGGCTTCACCAAAGTGATAAACGGCTACGGCCTGCATCACCTCGGCCGTTTCCTCCCACATCAAGCTGACACGCCGTGATATAACTGGAATAATGTTCCAAGCTGCGTTAAACCGACTCACTCACTGCTACCTTTACTAAATTATAACATCTACAAAAGCTGATGTTCCCTGCATACGTACGACGGGCTTCGGCTCTGGTCATGCTTGGTGTAAACTCCAATGGACCACTCTTCTTGGTGGACCGGTAGAACCTCAAGTTGGAAGCGCCCCCTAGCGTTGTCCCCTTAGATGTGTTGCCTGGGGTGCCCCAGTTGTTGTAGTATTTATTATACATCCCGTGCATGACGTCATAGTTGTCCGAACTACGACGACCACGACTTCCAAACGCAGATGTCCAACTCCCGAAAGCTGGTCTTATATTGTACCTGCAATTGAGAGGTATATGGAACATTAGTACACAAGGTTCTGTAATGAATCTATATAATACGCATATACTCAACTTGTATGCTTCACAACGAAAACTGGGGCCTTAAATATCACTTCACACAAATTTGTAAACGTCTCACAAACGACGTAATAATTACAAATATTTGTTACTCATTTCTAAATTTGTCTGTTCGAATGCGGTAAAATATTCCCTAATATATATATACCTAACCAAGTTCAGTGTCCAAGAAAAGATGCCTGGCTTACTGTATCCTTTGAGGCATACATTGTACCTGTACGAGGTATATTGGGCAATATTTTACGCCGTTTTCAACACTATTGAAGCATTGATCGTTTATTGTGCCAAGTGTAGTCAGTTATCACTGAGCTATCTGAAGCCTCATGTAATTAAATGTATGGCTTCGGTGCTAGGAGTTACCTGGTGGTCACAGGCTTGCCACACCGAATCCCTGAATGTGTGAACGCCAGAGAATAATCAGTCTTTTATCCAACAAGAGCGATTCCAATGGTCGTAAATGTAAAATAGCGGTGAAAATGATATGAATTGATCATCCGTACGGTTTTTGATATTTCACTTACTTTTATCGTAACCTTTTGCAAATTAACACGATTTGTCTTACAAATATGTGATAAAACATGTGTAAAGAAGATATTGAATCGCTGAAAAGTGAAACGAAAATGTCAAAAACTAAAATGAAACCACAGAAAACTATTTCCACCGCAGTGAAAATAGTTTTCTACATTTTCATTTTAGTTTTTGACATTTTCGCTTTTGTTTTTGACCTTTTCATTTTAGTTTTTGACCTTTTCGTTTTGTTTTTTGACATTTCCGTTTTAGTTTTTGACATTTTCGCTTCACATTTCAGCGACTCAAAAGCTACTTGAAAGTACATTTTCCATGTTTTCGGTTGTTTTTATACATGATTTATCACATATTTGTAAGACAAATTGTGTTTATTTGCAAAAGGTTACGATAAAAGTAAGTGAAACATCAAAATATTGAAAAACAGACTACATGTCCCTTATGGGCCAACGTACATCCGTGATGTCACCAGGTGTTCGCGACATGGGTAAGCATTTCCAGCCCTACCGGTTTCATTATCCCTGATTGAACATTTGTTTTGGCAAGAGTATTACGCTATTGATGTCTTCGTGAAAAGAGCATGCTCGATTGTACCTCAAAAGGTGTAAACTGCAAACTCAGGAGCTGGTGGGGTATAAGGGGACATGAACGGGACATTGACTTTTGGAAAGTTGAAGTTATCCCTCTTGTTAAACAGTCTGGTGGTCACTCTGGATCTTTATTAATATACAGATTTCTAAATATGAAACAGATGTGGCGGTTTCACTGGTCTCTTATATTTCTAGTTCAAGTGGATAAATCAGTGGAGCGGAAATGGCTATTTCATCATTATTGAACCATTTCAGGTCATCAATACACCGGATGTTTAAATAAATCTTCTTGGCTAGATTCCCTTATTTGAATTTGCCAATCCTAGCAGATATATTCGATTCATTTTGATTCATATGCATGAAAGAATTTTAGCACAGCAGGTGCCCATGGGGATGCCCGCTTCTTGCCTAAATGTCTTATCCCTCTACCATTTCAGAGATACACAATTTAGCCGTCACACTAGATTGTCTGATGAATTGAACACCTTACCCTTGGTTCCAGAAAGAGCATATTGGTATAGCTTTTTATATGATATATGTGAATTTCATCATCGTTTCAAACCTCCAGACCAGATTAGCCCTTTGTAACGCCAGTTAGAGGCATCGCGACTTGTTATTAATGCAAATATGAAGAAGGTCTTTCGGTTCTAACTTACGGATCATTTTCGTTGACCAATACATCTCCTCTGCTGTTGCGTTTCCTGTGGAGACATACGCCCATCACAGCGATGATGACGACAAAGATGATGAATAAGGGGATTCCAACGCCGAGTCCAACAGCCAGGGAGATAGAGGGTTCTAATGAAAGTGCTAATTGTTTATTAACATGATACCTAAACAGCAGAACGATTCATTATCAGACAATTGACGAATACTAATAAACTCCTTTCAAAAGGATAAAAGAGAATAAACACAAAACAATGTTTCAATAGGTTTCAAAGTAGACAGATCGATACATAAGAAATATATTATAAAATGTATGTTTTTTTCAGTGACATAGTAACATAGTTGTGAGTAACATAGGTAGTTAGTAAAGACAAAATTGTGAACCATCCTCTTCCCTGTTTTCATTCATGACAACGTGTTGAGAGTTCAAGACCGTGCCATTTCTTTCCAAGAGCCATTTTCATAGCATATCGTTATGTGGGTAGAAATTTGGATAGTATCCATTTAAAAACCCATTCTAAAACATTTCATTCAAATTCAGGTGATCTGGTAATTAGTGCCACTACCTTGGTAGTTAGTGGGGCTGGAGCTGGTGCTGGAGCTGGAGCTGGTGCTGGTGCTGGAGCTGGTGCTGGTGCTGGTGCTGGTGCTGGTGCTGGAGCTGGTGCTGATGCTGGTGCTGGTGCTGGTGCTGGTGCTGGAGCTGGTGCTGGTGCTGGTGGCACTACTTTGGTGTTCAGTGGTTGTGACATCGGACTTCCGTGGGACTGTCGTTACAGAGAAAGGTTATCCACGATATGAGACAACATTGAATTTACTGTGTTTGTTCTGTGTTTAGTACAAATCATCTTGAAATCATTTCAGGATATATTTTATCTATTAGAGGCATTCATCAAGAATATTTTTTATCTTTAACACTATCCATTATTCCCATTGTAACATCGTCGAATATGTGACTAATTTAAGTTATTTAAGTTGTTATGATGAACAAGGGAGGTAATTTTATGGACATACAACTTCTTTATTACGATCAATTTGATGTTTCGGTGTAGATCCTAACACCGTTGTGAAGCATGATAACGGTACGTTTTATTATCTACACCGATACTTGCTTGATAACAATGTTGTTTTCTACATGGAAACGTCGCATTCATTGTAATGAAGTGTCAGTGAGTATGGTTTTGCGCCGCTTTTAGCAATATTCCAGCAATATCACGGCGGGGGACACCAGAAATGGGCTTCACACATTGTATCCATGTCGGGAATCGAACCCGGGTCTTCTGGGGGACTGTAATATAGAAGTTGCTTATCTAAAGAGTTATCTCCCTTGTTCGTCCAATATATCGATGAAGCCGTTGAATAAATACTCACTAACCCATTGTAAAAATGAAACATTACGCATGAAGTCAGTATTTCAACGCATTGTTTAAAGAACTTAATAACTATGAAAGAACTAACTGGCGATGCAGGTGACGTTATCAGATTGTAAACGGAAGCCGTTGTGGCAGTAACAGAAGTAGCCACCGTCGGTGTTGTTACAGTAACTCTTCTGTGTGCAGATCTGCTGAGCTATAGTCGTACACTCATCTATGTCTGAAGTGCAACAGATACAACATCAAATATACATGTTTTGCAGTGTGGACGGCGCTGTTGAAAACATGTTCATGCATTGTAAAATAAATATCAGGATACACATGTCCATGCACTGGTGTCAACAGTATTTGTGGCAACAATACAACATATACACGCAACACACACATGCATTTTCACTTGCCAAGCATTCCATATCTAACCTGATATTTGTCAAACGCTGGGATTATTTAACTCGCCTTTAAATTCAGATGCATTTTGGGCGGAAAAAGAAAGAAAAAAATGTCAATTATGTTGTGAAGACAATTAACATACCTTCACATCGTATACACAGTACACAGTACATTATGTTTGGAAGACCTCCAACATACTTTCACATCGTGTAAACAGTATACAGTACATTATGTTGGGAAGTCCTCTAACATACCTTCACATCGTATAAACAGTATACAGTACATTATGTTGGGGAGACCTCTAACATACCTTCACATCGTATAAACAGTACACAGTACATTATGTTGGGAAGACCTCCAACATACTTTCACATCGTGTAAACAGTATACAGTACATTATGTTGGGAAGTCCTCTAACATACCTTCACATCGTATAAACAGTATACAGTACATTATGTTGGGAAGACCTCTAACATACCTTCACATTGTATAAACAGTACACAGTACATTATGTTGGGAAGTCCTCTAACATACCTTCACATCGTATAAACAGTATACAGTACATTATGTTGGGAAGTCCTCCACGCAACACACACATGCATTTTCACTTGCCAAGCATTCCATATCTAACCTGATATTTGTCAAACGCTGGGATTATTTAACTCGCCTTTAAATTCAGATGCATTTTGGGCGGAAAAAGAAAGAAAAAAATGTCAATTATGTTGTGAAGACAATTAACATACCTTCACATCGTATACACAGTACACAGTACATTATGTTGGGAAGTCCTCTAACATACCTTCACATCGTATAAACAGTATACAGTACATTATGTTGGGAAGTCCTCTAACATACCTTCACATCGTATAAACAGTATACAGTACATTATGTTGGGAAGACCTCTAACATACCTTCACATTGCTTTTTATCCGGGTTATAGCTGTATCCTTTCTCACAAGAACAATTATACGAATCTGCAGTGTTCGTGCAAGTTACTCCTTCACCACAAACGGGTTTTTTGCATTCGTCCTCATGTTTAGTACAGTTATGTCCACTCCAGTCTTGCATACAAGTACACGCCCCGCTGGTGTGGTTACAGTCGTGTGTGGTGGCTTTGGGACCGCAAGTACATCTCTCCATACAGTCAGGCCCCCAGGTTCCACCTGAACATGCTGTTTGCAGAGAAACAATTCCGTTATATAAATGCCAAAATATCACAGCAAATGTACGTAGATTTTTTGTTTTAGTCTGGTCGATAATTTATCGGGTAAGCAGTTTGAAGCATTTTCCCGTAAACAATATTCATTACCACGGTTAGCGTAAGGGAAGGGTATTTGTTTTGTCACGTGTGTCACGTAACATTCCATGAAACGCAAGTCATACTTCTTCTACCAGCATGGCACAAATGTGACGTCAATGTGGACAATGGAGATGCATTTTAAAGTATTCCAGTTAATATTACTGAGGTCGTCAACATATTTTTTAAACTTCATTTCATGCGTCAAACGGTGAGAAACTGACACACCAAGTTTGATTCCAGGTTCTTTGTATTGAAACTCGAATGGTATGGTTTATATAATGATCAAATGTAGTTGCAGCAATTTATACACAAAGGACGTCTCGGTTTGACACACGTTACTAATTGCATCATAGCCATGTGTACAGTTTTGAAGTTTGGTGGCGGAAAGTAGTTGGATGGATAGCCCGGTGACTCCTGAGAATTTCTAAGGCTTCGGTCCTGTTTCAACACTGAAACAAATGTTACATATCGTGTCTCCTTAGGCAAGTGACTTGTTCGAAATATGCCTTTGTTCAGCAAGCAGGGAATGGGTACCCGGTAGGATAAGATGGTAATGTAACCCCCATATAAGCAACTTTGGGTGTTTACTCCCCAGTGAGTGAACATTTGAGAACGCACTGATCCATTGACCTGTATGATGTAGCGCTTTGCGCATACCGACATGAGTAAAGGCAAGACGTGGAACTTGGCGCTGTAGAAATGTACTCATTATTGATATACCTCGACCGTAAATGGGCACTGGGAAGTGAAGCATATGTCCCCCATTAACTGAAATATGCATGACGTTGTATAATATTATGTCGTTACCTGTACAGCTTAGTCTGGTGTTGTCCAGGGAGTATCCATCATCACACAGGCAGAAACCCGTGGCTTTATCACACTTGCCATTTGTACAGGGGTGTCTACTGCAAGGATTTGTCTCTGTAATACAACAGTTGTTTGATGACGTGCTGAGGTCCGTGAAGGTAACAATTTCAAAAAGCCGAAAACTGTTCCACCTGTTCGTGTTACACATGTAACTAACAACACATTACACAAACAATCAAGAGGGTGAACCATTATGCTTATATTGTCATACTTAATACGCATTGTTGTCCCACCTACTCCATAAATGAGAAATTATAGGAAATACCAGTGTTTTTATTAGGATTGTCTGAACATCAAAAGAAAAGCCATATCCAAATCATCTAGAGTAATGTGTATGTTTGTGTGTGTGTGTATATGTTTTGATACAGAAACATAATAAAATCATTTTCATAAAAGTATGTATTTATCCCTAAATTCTCAACCCCTGAAAATTAACGCACACACTTGCAACCTTACGGTCGGTAATAAAATTGTACGGAGAAAGATAGACGTAGATATACAGGAAATAGTGTGAACGGAATCATATTTACGGTTGCAGGAACCGACTGTCAAGGTATGGCGTGATAAAGTTCTTCAGATAATAAATAAAAGCGACAAAAAGTCATTTCCTTAATCATAAGAAAAAAACTAAAAAAGCAGAGTCCATTGTACGATTCCGACAATACCATAAGCATGTATTTATGAAGTCATGATAGCAGAGCTTATTCGGTAGACAATGCACATAGGTACATACTTTTAGTAGTATCTAGTAGTATCTAGTAGTGAGGAGTACATATATACCTAGTAGTAATCTTTGTGAAATAGTAAAAATGAGACAGTAGTTTAACTCTCATCCTTATACTTAGGACATAAATCTATGTTTTCAATGTAGAGCTTGATCACCTGCAAATGTAACCGCGCCAAGTTATATTTAGAACCGTTACGGTACATATAAGTATTGTGAAATGCCCATGACAATAGCTGAAAAAGAAGTAAAAGCTTCCGCGGTGAAGTAGTGGTTAATTGTGTTGTTTCAATGAGAGGTGGTTATTGTGATTTGATACCTCTGATCAACCAATCAGAATAGCGTAACTTCTAATTTCATGGTAAAATAATGATTTAGACTCACTTTCACATGTCCCGGTAGCGTTGTCGTAACCTTTCTCACAAACACAGACCCGGTCACATACTGCATGGCTCCCACAGTCTGTTGTACACTCCGTTGGGTTTATTATTATATCTATATCGTTGAGACAACATAGGTTAGCCGTGTTTATGAAGATTTACATACCAACATACCACAGGAAACCAATTTAGAAGACAGACAAATCATAACACTTGTATTTATAATCCCGATTCATTAAACATTTGCTAGGTGTTCCCACATCTTACCAACAGTGCAGTTGAAGCCGTCGCTGTTGATGACGTAGCCAGGGTAACAGAGACAGTTGTAGGAGCCGTTTATGTTCTCACAATTTTGCACGCAGTTGTCTGTCTTCAGTGTACACTCGTCGATGTCTGAATTGTGAGACAGGGAATACATGAAGGATCGTAACATGCATTCCACAGGCGTATCCTTTATAATAGGGGCACGGGCGGCCCAATTCGGTGTCCCATGGGCAAACATATATGAACGTTGGTCCGGCTCACGGTTCAATCTGATTATGTTTCTAGGTTTGTCAGCGAAAGTGGTGAATGTCTGAGACGTGCACTTTCCTCCCACATTAAGCTGCTATAACTGGAATACTGTTCAAAGCGTCGTTATACTAAGCCCACTATACCCACCCATTATAAGATTACCATCACTTTGGGCTTTCCTCCCACATTAAGCTTACACAAGATGATATAGCTCAAACTATGTTCAAAGTCACAATGTTCGAAAATATTATTTTCTACTTTATATTAAAGTATACTTCACAGAATACTCAAATCATCTCCCCATATAGCTCATATTCCCTGGACCCGTGTAGATCCGAGTTAGAATAGGTCTTATTATGCTTGTCATAAGAGGCGACTATGCTTGACGTAAAAGCCGACTAACGGTTGTCAGACTCGCTGACTTGGTTTATGCACGTCATCGTATCCCAATTGATGATCATAATGTCAGTTACTGAATTGTCTGGTCCAGACTCGATTATTTACATACCGACGTCATACAACCAGAATGTTGCTGAGTGTGGCATTAAAGAACAGACAAACAAACAAAACTAACATATTCCCTGGAGTTCATCAGGCATGGTGCATAAGAGGAGTAGAATCACAGTGGTTTGACGTCACGTTTCGTCATGACTGAAATTCTATACTAAGTGCCCGTTTCGAACTTTTTTGTGTGAATTGTGATAGTGTATGAATCAGGCCATGTTAACGGTGTTGACCATACCTATACAACTAGTTCCGTTCTCCGAGTAGCCTTCATCACAAATACACCTGTAGCTCCCTTCGTTGTCAAGACAACTGGCATCTTCCGGGCAATTATAATCTCCAGTCTTGCATTCATCGATATCTGCAACGAACATAGATTGGAGTTAAGTATTAGGCGCCTGTGCAATATTTCAATAAAATTAGTGTACTGTACACAGTAATAGGTATAATGATAATTGTATAAATTTTGTTTCGCTGAAGAAAACCATTTTTAACAAGTCATGCTCAATAAATTAGAACTATGAAATATCAATCAGAAAAAAGTTACTGCATTGTTGAAGAGTCCATTTCTAATATTATTTGTCCATAGATAACGAGCGATATATACTTACTTTGGCACACTCCTTTGAGAGTTCTACCATACCCTTCTTTGCAGCGACAGACAAAGCTACCAATGGTGTTGACACAATTCTCGTAGTCGTCAGAGCAAGGGGAGAGTGTTCTCGCACATTCGTCTATGTCCTCGCTACAGTAACTTCCGTTAAAACCATCCTCACAAATGCATCCCTTCTTTGGGTGACATTCTTTACGATGTTTACACTGGGCACAGCTCGATGAACAATTTAATCCGAACTTCAATGGATCCGTGCAAGCTGGGAAGTAACATCATACGCTTATAGGAAGCCGTAGAGCGACACTCAAAGGATGGAAGACCTAACGTAACCCGTAGTCTCAAAACGCTACCAGTGTTATAACTTTACTAGGCTGAAAACAGTCGCCGAAATGCTACAAACTTAAGGTCCAAAACACAACTATGATACATCACCATCGAATAACCATTTCCTGTTTTATTCATTTTTAGCCACAATCAAACATAGGAGTATACTTTCTTTTGCACGGCAATTTTTGTCTAGAAAACCAAAGTGAAGATAAAGAGAGCACGATAATTTGAGACATATTGGAACCAAGAACTGATTTGAATGAGAGCACATAGTCTTCCTTTATGTATATAAATAACATTTAGAGGGTAAAATTGTATGGTTGTCGATGGCTGTTAGTGAGACATTATACCCCATTTCCCCAAATCAATGTTTTGGAATGTGCTTTTATAAAAAAAGAGGAATAGTCTCAAAGTTAAAGTTTTGTTAATGCTGTCTTAGAAGACAAAGTTACTTTGAGTCCAATGTACTATGCGTGAAGACTGTGATTTACCTTGGCACGTCGTCTTGTCACTCTCAAGCGTGTATCCAGGGTCGCAAGAACAGAGAAAGCCGCCGTCGTTGTTGTGGCAGGTGTGGCTGCAGGGATTGTTGGTGATGCATTCGTCGACGTCTAAACAGGACATAGTAACACGAGTGCACTACATTCAACATTCTATTTACATTTACTTGACCAGTAGGGGGTCCGGGAAATAGCATAGGTCCCCAGCAGCCCATGGTGATTACTGGCGACCAAATGGATCGGGTGGTCGGGCTTGGTGAATTAGTTTATTGCATGTTATCGTAACTCAATTGCGTGGATCGGTGCTCCAAACACCAATCATTTGATTGTCTGGTTCAGACGTGATTATTTAAACACCGTTTTCCTATAGCTGTCATGCTGCTGAGTGCGGCGTTAAGCAACAAACAAACAATATATTTCTTAACCAAGTTGGTTTGGTTGGTTGGTATTCCAGCTATTTGACGGCGATCTGTAAATAATCGAATCTGGACCAGACAATCCAGTGATTAAAATCATGAGTATCGATCCACGCAATTGGGATTGATGACATGCATCAACCAAGTCAGCGAGCCTGACCACCCGATCCCGTTAGTCGCCTCTTACGACAAGCACAGTCACCTTTTACAGCAAGCATTGGTTGCTGAAGACGTATTCTACCCCGGAATCTTCATGGGTCTCTTAACCAAGAATTGAACTGGATAAGGTTACGGATATGCTTTCTCTCCTACATATACGGACGCAAAAGTTTAACACGACATATTTTTATTAGATTCGAAATCAAATGTTTATTAAACAAATGTTTTTTAGTATGGTTAAAAGAGTGCACCAACTATTGGCGTCGATGTTGTCTAATCAGTGTCTTATCGAAGAGGGTATCTAGTTTCATTTTTAGATGTTGAATTGTAAATGAAAAGTGTTCTGACCTTGACACCTGGTGTTATCTACCAGTGTCCAGCCTCGGGGACAGAAACACTGGGGACCACTTGAGCCTTCCATACAGTGGGAACAGTTCAGGCCAGAATCCGTACACGTCTTCAGTCCGGCTGCAACTGCGGTCATGGGGGTACTATGTTATGAGACCATATCGTGTACACGAGCGAATAGGAGGCAGCACACACACATATAGCTATATAATTATGATAGTTAATGTGCTCACTTCGCTGAATGTCAAATTGAACGTAAAAATACATTATCTCTAAAATAATCTCCTGATGAATATTATACATAACTGGTGAGATTCCCCAGTGTACGGTAGCACATATGTAAAGAAATTCACCAAATTTTCACGGATTTGCAGCTTTATTTTCCTGAAAAGAACTTCCTTAATTTTAGGTGCACCGCACGAGTTATTATTTATCATTAGTTGTTGTTTTCTGTACAACAAAACACAATCAGTTGATTATGTAGTGTTATCACATCCCACAGTTAGATTGTTGGAGGACACATTTGGGCATGAATTTCTATGTGTTACCTTCGCATGTCCCGCTTTCTGTCACTTTGTACCCCTTGACACACCTGCAGTGGAAGCTCCCCGGGGAGTTGATACACCCCTGTTCACAGCGATCGAGTCTCTCATCACACTCATTGATGTCTGAAATTGGTTGTTGTGGTCATACAGTCGATATGGTTATCGATGAGCCAAACCAGTCCGATAAACTTGCATATTATAAATCAGTAATTACATGTAAGTATGAAAATGAGGTCATCAAGCAGGAACAGTAGTAGGCTCAGTGCATCGATGAAATTTACACTCATCCGAAAACTACTATCCAGTAGCATTGAGATACAGGTTTCAGATGGTTTAGTGCTTATGTAAACGAACAAAGTTGCAAATCATTATGGACTTTACAATAAACGGGACGACTCACTCAGGTATCGTATTCTTACTGTTTACGCCGCTTCTAGCAATATTCCAGCAATATCACGAAGGGGGACACCAGAAATGGGCTTCCCACATTGTACCCGTGTCGGGAATCAAACCAGGGTCTTTGGCGTGACGAGCGAACGTTTTAACCACTAGGCTACCCAACCGCCCCTTTGATTACTTGAAGAATGACAATATATGATAAAGAAAGTGTTACCATCGTATGTTTCCGCATTGAGTGCATCATATAAATATTAGGAATAAAGTAAAAGATATTCTTGCTGGCATAAGAAATGTTACTCTTAACAAAGACATGCTATTTACGATACGAAAACACAGGCGCCCTAATAATATCTATACCCACTTAATTCTTGGTAAGAATTATGATGGCAATGACAAGGTGATCTTTTCAAGAGCTTATTTTGCCTGTGCATGTGTGTGTGTGTGTGACATCAAGGTCAAATTTATATACGAAGCAGATTTATGCGATAAGGTAAGTGAAGATTAGAGGTCAGTCTGTTTATTTACCGATTAACCCGAGGCTAAAAAATCAATAAAAATATATCAAGATGTTTTGATGTCTGACATTCATATGAGTAATATATATTACGAAACCTTTGATGTTCAGATATATCATTCAATCTAAATAGACACTTGATATGTTTCTCATGTAAAGAGAAAAATGTCCCTATAAAAGTAGATTAGCATATTTAAACACACAATATTTAACACAGAATACAACCATAAACACACGCACAGGCATACAGGCATGCATGACAACATACTTCAGTTTTTAAATTACTAATTAATTTATTAATAACACTAGATCAGTATGAAACATACCTAGACATGTTTTTCCATCGGGTGCCAGCTTGTAGCCCTTGTCGCATGTACACTGATAACTGCCAGGGATGTTATGACACGTTCCGTTGCAAACATGGTTATCACTGCATTCATCTATATCTGAAGAAACAATAATACGTACACTAATAAGTTTCATGTTAACATGCTGTATGATGCTTACCTATTCATAATACCTATTAACACCATACTGTCTAAATATTTAATATTTATTTTAAGCTGTTCGCACTTTATTGAGGAGTGCTACTGACGTTGTTGTATCTCCTTTAAGGAGATGAACCTGTGAAGAGCCCTGGCAGAATAGGTCTACAGCAACCCATGCTTGCCGTAAATGGCAACTATGCTTGTCGTTAGAGGCGACTAACTGGATCGGGTGGTCAGGCTCGTTGAATTGGTTGATGCATGTCATCGTATCCCAATTCTTACATCGATGCTCATGATGTCAATCACTGGATTGTCTGGTCGTGGCTCGATTATTTACAGACCGCCGTCATATAGCTGGAATATTGCTGAGTGCGGCGTTAAACAAAAAACAAACCATTTAAGGGGTTGACATTCATTTAGTTTGAATGGACCTCCTCGTCTACCCTGACGGCGAAAGGTCCGTGGCTCGATCCCCGACCGATTCATACCAAAAGACGTTAAATGATCGCACTTGTGGTTAGTTATCCTGCCTGGCAATCGGTATTTTGGGGGATAAAACAAGGACAAGGCTTTAATCCGTATACATCAGTGTCTGAAAAGGGTATCCATGTTCAACTAAGGCATGGTTTCACAATGGACTTACTCCGGGCAAGACACAAGAAGCCATACACACAGGGGCATTTGGGAACTGACCGCGACGCTAAAACCCATTTCAAGTCAACATTAATGAATGCTGTTCTACGTCGCACATGCGTGTATTCTAGGTTACATGAGGTGTGCCTGAAAGACTTACAATTTGGGGGCGGATTCAAACACTCTAAGAACACTTACCTACCCATTTCAAGTCAACATTATTGAAGGCTGTTCTACGTCGCACATGCGTGTATTCTAGGTTACATGAGGTGTGCCTGAAAGACTTACAATTTTGGGGCGGATCCAAACACTCTAAGAACACTTACCTACACATTTCCCGTATGATATATTGAACCCTTTTGGACACGAGGTACAGTTGTTCGCGCGACCCAGTCTTTGCTCCTCCGCCGGGGTAAGGTCAGTGCAGTTGGTACCTGAGGGGCAGGGGCTCTGTTGGCAACCATCGAAGTCAGTGTCGCATGTTGGCCCTAAATGCGTGTTAATGCACCATTACAACTCCATTCAAAGCCTTTCTAGCATACACGTTCTATCAAGAATATGGTTTAATTTGTTAGGATATTAGATGATTAATTTACGTGAAGATATTTGTCTCGATGGTATACACTCAGCCAGTTTGTTTTAAGTTAAAAAAACATATGCTTGGGGGCTACAGACCTAGCCATCCAGTCTGGCACTCGCAGTTCAACGGGAGGAAATTGCGGGTGGGTGACGTAATGAAGTAACATGTGCCGTTGTTGCTGCAGTTTTGACACAGTGCAATTCTCACTTGTAGAGTCGAAGACGAACCCCCAGCACTGTCTTCGGCGTGAAAGCTAAACATGGAGGACGGATATAAGAAAAATATCAGTAAAATCATTGATCACTTACATTTACACATCCCGTGTGGAATCCGGCTTTAAATCTCTCCCCCCCCCCCCCCCCCCCCCCCCCCAGCAAACTATGCTTGTCGTAAGCGGCGACTAAATGGATCAGGTTGTCTGGATCGATAATAAGGTTGATTGTGTGTCACCATAACCAGACGGAGTGGCTTGTTGCTCATAATATCGACCACTAGTCTGTCTGGTTCAGTCTATACAGTTCGCTGCAATATTGCATACTTTCTTTTGCCAGACATTTTACACGCAACATGCATCTGGTATTTTATGGTTCTATGGTGGAGATATGTGCTATATTACATGGTGACTGTACTGAAAATCTGGAAATATTGTGAGAAATGTGTTGACTTATACAATGTATGCGTATACTGTTGATTTGACCCTCCGAAAGTATCGTTATAACACTAGGAAGGATGACATTGCAATGCGCTTACGAAAAGACGAAAATGTTACAATAGGTCTCCAGCAACCAATGCTTATAACCAAAGAAGCGACTAACGGGATCGGTTGGTTACGCTCGCTGACTTCGTGAATGAATGTCATCGTAACCCTATTGCGTATATCGATGATGTCAATCACTGGATTGTCTGGTCCAAAGTTGATTATTTACAGAGCTGGAATATTGCTGAGTGCGGCGTAAAACAACAAACAAACGATAAAACGTAATGCGATGGGAATAACACTTATGCCTACCTTATGTTGAAAAATGTTGTGTCATTGGGAGTGAAAACGTATTGAATGCTGCTATTGGTTTTGCTCATGTTCTTGCTGCTGAACGATCCGGACATGAAGAGGGTGACGTTCTGGTCAGTGTCGTCGTCGAAAGCAGTGGCGGCGACAGTGACACTTACACCGACAGTGGCGTTCACCTGCAGATCGCCGATCACTCGAGGGACATGGTTTTCTGAAATTCACACAGCAAAATGTGGACACTCTTCCCTATCTCATTAAAATCAGATTCAGTCCTCGCTACCACTAAGCAAACATCTGAGGACATCCCATTACGGCTCGCGTCAGACCGACATTTCTTCCGACCAATCAGCGCAACGCTTACCAGATTGGGAAAAATGAGAGACTTTGCAGACTAAACATTGCACATGGTAAAGCCTTTCCATAACCCAGGCTAAGGAATGAAATACAATCTCGGCAATCTAATAAATTGCAGAATTTTCTTTTCTTCAGTTTTCAAATTTTGAATCGAATGAGAATTTTCCAATTTTTCAAGCGATGTCTGGAATGGAAGTCGCCAGTTTGAAGTTTGGCCCGTGAAGCTCGTGAAAGCTGCTTTCTGACTGGCTCATGTCCACTCATTGCCACTGTCAGTCATTCCATTGGTCGGACAACGATCACGAAAGGTCGTTATGGCGTGACCCGTAATGGGATGTCCGCAGATCTGTGTTTGCCGTAGCGAGATCTAAGTTGTGATTTTCATTAGATTGACGCTTTTCCTAAAATGAGCAAATCTAACAGAGAGTGTATTTGTGTGTGAATAGATGGGAACAGCCCGATCCGTTTAAAATGACTCTCTGATTAGATTTCCTTATATATGTCGGATATAATAGAAATATATACACAGTTTATCTTAAAGTTGTACGGGATGTAGAGATTGGTCTTAGGGATGTATCATATTTGCTGCCCCTACCCCCTCCCCTTTCCACCCCAATTTTATGTAACATGTTTTCATGACTCCCGCCACCACAACTACCACCACCACAATCACCACCACAATAAATGACCAGTACTTTAACAATGTTCAAATTAAAAAGAACACATTTGTCAAATTGCAATGCACATACTAAATGTCATGAGTGTGTGTGGCCAATCCCAGAATACAACACCTGTGAATAGCCTCTTCTCAGCAGCCGTTTTCTTCACGTGTTTGGTGTTGTTTGATATGGTGGCGTCTCCAGTGACAATGAAGTCATAGATACACTCCATGTCCTCTTGCCCACATGCTTTCACGGCATCGTTGTCTGTGGTGTTCATATTGTCAAGAAACATGGGGATAAACTCCAGATTCTGATAGAAGGCAGAGTTCCGCCCCCGGGTGTACTTAAACACCCGCGTCCTGTTGATGCTCGACAAACTGGTGCGCCCTAAAAAGTGAGTGCACTTTCAGTATTTCAGTTTATATGAGATTGAGGTGGGTCCCATTAGTTAAAATATGTCTTACTGTCTGACTATTCAGTGTGATTGAAAAGATTGGAGGGGATGACAAGCTCTTGGATCATAACCAGGGCCAATATTGGAATCAAACCCACGTGCATTGGTTTCTGGCAATCCCTAAAAGAAACGTTTGGACGCTTCATCATTAAATATACCTATTTCCTGCAATATGTATGCATCTCAAGTTTATATCAATTCATTATTTCAAGGGGTTACGGGTTTCCCAATCGTCTACGGCGCCGCAATTTGCTGTGCAAAGTGCTACGGAAGAAACCTCTGGTTGTGGGTTCGAATCCCGCTTCGCCACGATTATGTTTCTAGGTTTGTCAGCATCATATCCATGCTCGTGGTTTTCACCGAAATGGTAAACTGCATCACTTCGGGCTTTGGAACACTGTTTAAAGCGGCCTTAAACCCAACTCGCTCACTCACTCATTATTTCCATTCACTTCACCTTTACTTTAATTCATTGCATTGTTATTGAAAGGATTGCCGACTCTGAATAACAGTCTGAAGTTTTATGATATTTGCACAACATGAAATTATGACACCACACTTACATTTTTCTCCAAACGTATGAAATATGTCTTCATCTGACATTGTATGGTTCAGAGTAGTGCCGTTTGGTAGAGTGAAGTCATCAGTATAGTCGCCATTGAAATTTCCCAGCAATCCACTGATCTTAAAATCCGAATTATTCCGCCAATCAGAGGGCACGGTGAGGGCAACGTCTAGCATCTTCACGCTGTGGGTGATGTTAATGCTCACTCCTGGAACAAGTACATTTTTGTTAGCCATGTGTTTACCGTTCGTTTCTGTCTGTTATTCCAGCACAACGAAGACTCCACCAAACCTGGTCATCCGGCCTGTGACAGCATTACCTACCTGGATGTAATTATATTACTTATGAAAATTATTGTGTTTAAACAATCACGAAAGGGTTTTCAGCTAAAACATATTCAACGTAAAGTTATTAGATACGCTCGTACTACAATATGACCAAGTTAATTGCATTCTCAAATTGCAATCATACAGCTTTCTTTCAGTTCTATCTTCCTTCCACAGACTTTTCAATCCTTCAAAAAATACTAGTACGATATCATATTTTATGATTGTCTATATTTGCAATATGTTTTGAAAGTTGGATGTAAAGGGAATAATGTATAATTGATGAAATGCTACACATTGTATTTTATTTGAAATGTGAATAAAGATTATGTTTTAAATTACCTACCTGGACGCTACAGAAGATACTAGACCTTGTCACATGTCAACAAATAAGAGACATTCCAAAACACTGGTGTTATCTTCCTTGACGACATCACTTCGCTAAGTAAATCTACCAGTTCACACAAGTGATAAAGAATAGTTTCGTGGAATACATGATACTTTATGGTGTAAAATGAAGTATTTCTGAAGCCAGAAATAGAATCAGGGTTGCACCGTCGTACAATTAGAGAAGTCGGGGAGTAATATAGCTTTAGTAAATGATTTAGAACTGGACTGGCACAGATGAGATTTTGAGATCTTAGGTATTAAACTAAACCCTTCTTTGAAAGGCATTTGGGTGATCAGTACAAAGAAACGATTAGATATTATAAATAAGATACTTGCTAATTGGTATGGAAGAAATTGATATTAATAGCGAAAATGACAGTTATAAAAACTTTGGCCGTCTTAACTCTAGTACATATTTTCTCTGCACTACCTAACCCGGCAAAGACATTTTAAAAATGAAATCAACACACTTTTTTATGAATTTATTTGGAATGACAAAAAGGATACCATGAAAAGAGAAAACTATCATTCGAACATACAGTGATGGTGGTATTAGAATGATTGACAGTGAATATTTTTTAAATTCTCCTAAAATTGTCCACCTTCAAACGATATTTAGGGGGCACGGGTGGCCCAGTCGTCTAAGGCGCCGCGATTCGCTGTTCAGAGTTGCGTCCCTTGGGCACACCAGAAACATATGATTGTGAGTTCGAATCCCGGTTCGACCCGATTATGTTTCCAGCTTTGTCAGCACCATACCCGTGCTCGTGGGTTTCACAGAAGTGGTAAACGTCTGAGACCTGCATCACTTCGGGCTTTCCTCCCACATTAAGCTGACACGCCGTGATATAACTGGAATACTGTTAAACCCAACTCACTCATTAACTATAACGATATTTTTAAAAAATTCAGGTAGTATTAACATCTTTCCCATAAGACACATATTCTCACTCAGCTTTAACATACATGTAGGTGACTGCTTATTTTGTATGGACAATCCTCGTTGGAGAGATGTTTTGACTGCATGGGGCATATTTTGTAAAAAAGACCCATTTGTTTTTTATTTGAGTTTGATAACAAAGATGATCTCTCAGATCAAAAGGGATCCAGGATCTTTAATTGCAAAATAATCAAGAGCGACACAATTAAAAAAAGTTTTAGAATACTGGAATAGTATTTCCTATTAATTGGAACGATGCTTTTTTTCATATTAGAGAAGATGTATGTGTATATTAAGGATTGTAAGCTGCTGGATTTTCAATATAGATTTATTTATACAACAATCTACACAAAGAAAGAAAGTCTGTAAATGATGCGAAGATTTATCACTTATTTTTTAAGGAACGTGGAACAGGTTTAAATGTGTATCAACAGTAATCAAAATATTGAACTTGAATTTACTGTTTGGATTTTCTACATATGATCATGTGGTTACCATATTTTGCTTTCAGCAAAACGATTCATTTATCAAGTATTAATCAACAGAAACCGTCCTTTGGTGTATTCATTAAAAGATTGAGCGATATTTTAAATTGAAAAATATATTTCAAACAAATACAACAGAATCCATTGTTATCATAAGAAATGGTAGCAACTGACTTCTCTCTGTCCATAGTCATGAAGCGTTCATAAAATATTTTATTCATGTTTCATCAATGTCTACTTTAAGCATAGTACACCTGCCTTTCATCAATAGTTATTTTTTATGTCTTCTACCTTGATTGTAAATGTACCTTCCCATTCTATATATTTGCTAACATGCACTTGGAAATAAATGGAGAATATTTCTACTTAACAGATTTTCAAGTGAAGCAATTCCTTATTATTGAATCATCTATCTCTCGTTCTGTATGCATTGTTGCACACACGTACATCGATATGAAAAATAACTAAATAATAGTCATAGTAAATTACTATTTTTATGAGACTATTTGTTTTGATTTAGGTAATGGAATGTCTGAAAAAAAGTAAAAGAAAATGCATTTCTTTCTCTTTTGGCATGTCTTGAAGTGACATCATTAAAGCCAATTAACAATACCAACAGTGTATACTCACATGGTAAATAACAGAATATTTAAAGACCAAAATTTGTATCTCTTGAAATATGCTTGTACATGGCTCATGTGACATGGCTCATTAGCTGACTGGTGACAATTTACTGTGATCACATTTACAAAGTAGTGTACTAATCAAATGGGCCACAATACAGTCACACGTGCTCTGCACCCTCTCTCATTCTAACAGTTACATTCCAGAAGCTCTTGGTATGAATTAGAAGTTTGTCCCAGTGTAGTCCACGAAGGCTCATAGTCATGTGCTACTGATATCACCATCCTCTCTCAGTTGGTGTGGAAAGTTCTGTTTTAGCCTCCAGACTTCGTAGGAGGGTGGATGAGGCACTCCAAGAATTATTCACTCAGAAAGGTAGATGAATTGACTCTATTCCTCTACATCAGCTGCATTGCGTTGACAAGTGTGATCACATTTATTTGTCCCTGACCAGCTAAAGCCATTAATGAAGATTCAATGCTTAAAATGAAATTACCTGAAGGTAGTGTGGCGGTGATGACGTGACCATTCGACAAGATGGCTGAGGAACTAGTAATTTTCTTGAAATCTCTTTTAATGTCAGCGCTGATATCATTATCATTGTCGTAAAATAGCACACCTGAAAGTGAATTAATACGGAAAGGGTAAACCGACACCCACTGATTATATAAGAAAATTAATCACACTGTTTCTACATAATAATGAGCATAAAGTGTGTCAATTTAGAAGCATACTGCTACCTTTCTTGTCCTGCGATAGCTCCACTTGAATGAAAGATGGTGCCTTGTAATCCTGCAGGACGACTGCAGTGAAGATGGTGGCGTTGTTGCTGTTGGTGGCGGTAGACACAGATGCAGTCCGGGCCTGGATCTCGAACACGGGCGTGTTGTGCTGATCATGAACCTGAAGGAGAACGTACTCGCCAAGTCCATTGAAGGTGTAGTTCAACCCATCCAGTGTCTGCAGATGGGGGTCGCCGTAGTATGTCGCTGAAACACGGAGGTGGTGGGTGAGTGGGTGGACGAGGAGGGATACAGTGGGAGGTGCAGTACGTGGGTGGAGCGGTAGGTTTGTTGGAGGTGGAGTGCGTGCATGGAGTGGTAGGCTCGTGGGTGATGGAGTGCTTGCATGGAGAGGTAGGTTAGTGGGTGGTTGAGTGGATGGTGGAGTGGTAAGTAAGTGGGTGGTGGAGTGCGTGCATTAAGTGGTAGGATAGTGGGTGGTGGAGTGCGTGGAGTGGTATGCTAGTGGGTGGTGGCGTGCGTGCATGGAGTGGTAAGTTAGAGGGTGGTGGAGTGGGTGGGTGGAGAGGTAAGTTAGAGGGAGGTGGAGTGGGTGGGTGGAGAGGTAAGTTAGAGGGTGGTGGAGTGGGTGGGTGGAGAGGTAAGTTAGAGGGTGGTGGAGTGGGTGGAGTGGTAGGCTAGTGGGTGATGGCGTGCGTGCATGGAGTGGTAAGTTAGAGGGTGGTGGAGTGGGTGGGTGGAGAGTTAAGTTAGAGGGTGGTGGAGTGCATGGGGTGGTAGGCTAGTGGGTGGTGGCGTGCGTGCACGGAGTGGTAAGTTAGAGAGTGGTTGAGTGAGTGGATGGAAAGGTAAGTTAGAGGGTGGTGGAGTGGGTGGGTGGAGAGGTAAGTTAGAGGGTGGTGGAGTGGGTGGGTGGAGAGGTAAGTTAGAGGGTGGTTGAGTGGGTGGGTGGAGAGGTAAGTTAGAAGTTGGTGGAGTGGGTGGGTGGAGAGGTAAGTTAGAGGGTGGTGAAATGGGTGGGTGGAGAGGTAAGTTAGAGGGTGGTGGAGTGGGTGGGTGGAGAGGTAAGTTAGAGGGAGGTGGAGTGGGTGGGTGGAGAGTTAAGTTAGAGGGTGGTGGAGTGGGTGGGTGGAGAGGTAAGTTAGAGGGAGGTGGAGTGGGTGGGTGGAGAGGTAAGTTAGAGGGTGGTGGAGTGGGTGGGTGGAGAGGTAAGTTAGAGGGAGGTGGAGTGGGTGGGTGGAGAGGTAAGTTAGAGGGTGGTGGAGTGGGTGGGTGGAGAGGTAAGTTAGAGGGTGGTGGAGTGGGTGGAGTGGTAGGCTAGTGGGTGATGGCGTGCGTGCATGGAGTGGTAAGTTAGAGGGTGGTGGAGTGGGTGGGTGGAGAGGTAAGTTAGAGGGTGGTGGAGTGGGTGGGTGGAGAGGTAAGTTAGAGGGTGGTGGAGTGGGTGGAGTGGTAGGCTAGTGGGTGATGGCGTGCGTGCATGGAGTGGTAAGTTAGAGGGTGGTGGAGTGGGTGGGTGGAGAGTTAAGTTAGAGGGTGGTGGAGTGCATGGGGTGGTAGGCTAGTGGGTGGTGGCGTGCGTGCACGGAGTGGTAAGTTAGAGAGTGGTTGAGTGAGTGGATGGAAAGGTAAGTTAGAGGGTGGTGGAGTGGGTGGGTGGAGAGGTAAGTTAGAGGGTGGTGGAGTGGGTGGGTGGAGAGGTAAGTTAGAGGGTGGTTGAGTGGGTGGGTGGAGAGGTAAGTTAGAAGTTGGTGGAGTGGGTGGGTGGAGAGGTAAGTTAGAGGGTGGTGAAATGGGTGGGTGGAGAGGTAAGTTAGAGGGTGGTGGAGTGGGTGGGTGGAGAGGTAAGTTAGAGGGAGGTGGAGTGGGTGGGTGGAGAGTTAAGTTAGAGGGTGGTGGAGTGGGTGGGTGGAGAGGTAAGTTAGAGGGAGGTGGAGTGGGTGGGTGGAGAGGTAAGTTAGAGGGTGGTGGAGTGGGTGGGTGGAGAGGTAAGTTAGAGGGAGGTGGAGTGGGTGGGTGGAGAGGTAAGTTAGAGGGTGGTGGAGTGGGTGGGTGGAGAGGTAAGTTAGAGGGTGGTGGAGTGGGTGGAGTGGTAGGCTAGTGGGTGATGGCGTGCGTGCATGGAGTGGTAAGTTAGAGGGTGGTGGAGTGGGTGGGTGGAGAGTTAAGTTAGAGGGTGGTGGAGTGCATGGGACGGTAGGCTAGTGGGTGGTGGCGTGCGTGCACGGAGTGGTAAGTTAGAGAGTGGTTGAGTGAGTGGATGGAAAGGTAAGTTAGAGGGTGGTGGAGTGGGTGGGTGGAGAGGTAAGTTAGAGGGTGGTGGAGTGGGTGGGTGGAGAGGTAAGTTAGAGGGTGGTTGAGTGGGTGGGTGGAGAGGTAAGTTAGAAGTTGGTGGAGTGGGTGGGTGGAGAGGTAAGTTAGAGGGTGGTGAAATGGGTGGGTGGAGAGGTAAGTTAGAGGGTGGTGGAGTGGGTGGGTGGAGAGGTAAGTTAGAGGGAGGTGGAGTGGGTGGGTGGAGAGTTAAGCTAGAGGGTGGTGGAGTGGGTGGGTGGAGAGGTAAGTTAGAGGGAGGTGGAGTGGGTGGGTGGAGAGGTAAGTTAGAGGGTGGTGGAGTGGGTGGGTGGAGAGGTAAGTTAGAGGGTGGTGGAGTGGGTGGGTGGAGAGGTAAGTTAGAGGGTGGTGGAGTGGGTGGGTGGAGAGGTAAGTTAGAGGGTGGTGGAGTGGGTGGGTGGATAGGTAGGTTAGAGGGTGGTGGAGTGGGTGGGTGGAGAGGTAAGTTAGAGGGTGGTGGAATGGGTGGGTGGAGAGGTAAGTTAGAGGGTGGTGGAGTGGGTGGGTGGAGAGGTAAGTTAGAGGGTGGTGGAGTGGATGGGTGGGTGGAGAGGTAAGTTAGAGGGTGGTGGAGTGGGTGGGTGGAGAGGTAAGTTAGAGGGAGGTGGAGTGGGTGGGTGGAGAGGTAAGTTAGAGGGTGGTGGAGTGGGTGGGTGGAGAGGTAAGTTAGAGGGTAGTGGAGTAGGTGGGTGGAGAGGTAAGTTAGATGGTGACGGAGTGGGTGGGTTGAGAGGTAAGTTAGAGGGTGGTGGAGTGGGTTGGTGGAGAGATAAGTTAGAGGGTGGTGGAGTGGGTGGGTGGAGAGGTAAGTTAGAGGGTGGTGGAGTGGGTGGGTGGAGATGTAAGAAAGAGGGTGGTGGAGTGGGTGGGTGGAGAGGTAGTTTAGAGGGTGGTAGACTGGGTGGGTGGAGAGGTAAGTTAGAGGGTGGTGGAGTGGGTGGGTGGAGAGGTAAGTTAGAGGGTGGTGGAGTGGGTGGGTGGAGAGGAAAGTTAGAGGGTGGTGAATTGAGTGGGTGGAGAGGTAAGTTAGAGGGTGGTGGAGTGGGTTGGTGGAGAGGTAAGTTAGAGGGTGGTGGAGTGGATGGGTGGAGAGGTAAGTTAGAGGATGGTGGAGTGGATGGGTGGAGAGGTAAGTTAGAGGGAGGTGGAGTGGGTAAGTGGAGAGATAAGTTAGAGGGTGGTAGAGTGGGTGGGCGGAGAGGTAAGTTAGAGGGTAGTGGAGTGGGTGGGTGGAGAGGTAAGTTAGAGGGTGGTGGAGTGGGTGGGTGGAGAGGTAAGTTAGAGGGTGGTGAATTGAGTGGGTGGAGAGGTAAGTTAGATGGTGGTGGAGAGGGTTGGTGGAGAGGTAAGTTAGAGGGTGGTGGAGTGGATGGGTGGAGAGGTAAGTTAGAGGGTGGTGGAGTGGATGGGTGGAGTGGTAAGTTAGAGGGTGGTGGAGTGGGTAAGTGGAGAGATAAGTTAGAGGGTGGTGGAGTTGAGTGAGTAAACGTTTGGAGAGATGATTAAAGTGCATTGTTGGGTGAGTGAGTGGATATGTGAATAGATAAAGGAGTGAGGTAGTTGGTGAGGGACTAGGTGTGAATAGACGAGGGGTGAGGTAATTATCCTGTTGGACGAGGGTTGATTGATACGTTCTGAACCTCACACTTGACCTAAAGATCGACCGCAAAGGTACATTTTTGCCAGCTTCGTAGAAGTGCTTCTCTTTGCTGACCAAACCGCTCTCCACAACTGCTATGAAGTCATCGTTCTAGTCGAAATGGGTTCAGCCGAGAGCTTTCTTCGTGTTTGAAAACAGACAGATGTCTAACGGAGAATAATTTGGGTGATAAGGATTGCAAAGTCACGCTCGTGGAAAGTGGGGCAATGAATGATTCGTTCACTGGCACATTGTTCTGATTGAAGAGCACATCGTTTCTCAGCAGAGTCCACAATAATAAAACCCTCGGCACTTCAGAACAATGATGTCATAACCTTTGCAGTCCTTGCCTTCTTTAGTGATGGGGATGTCAAATGCTTCTACAGGTAAGTATTATTTTCATCCATAGTCACACATCATTGTCAGAAGATTTCTCGATCAGCTTCAAACAGAGCTGACCGCCTCCGTGGTCTAGTGGTAGAGCGTCCGCCCGGAAAACGGAAGGTCCGGGATTCGATCCCCGGCCGCGTCATACCAAAAGACGTTAAAATATAGTACTTGTTGTTACCCTGTCTGGCGCTCGGCATTAAGTGGCTAAAACAAGGACTGGTCGGCTCGGAGTCAGTATACTGTGTCTGAGTTGGGTATTCATGTTAAACTGCGGCATGGTATCTCAGTGAGTTAGCACTATAAATCGGCATCAGTCCGGACTAGTACAAGCAGCCACACAAACATATATACGTACATGCACGTCGCTATATAAGTGCAATTATCTGCAATTATCTTGGACGCGACGTTAAACCCAATTTCACCTAACCTTCAAACAGAGCTAGAACAGATGTCAGAAGATTTGGAGCTGATACTTTCTTCGCTGCCAAAGTTCTTATGATAGTTGAATGTATTCTCTCCTGAGAAATACCAACTGAACTTGCAATATAACGCTCAGTCATTCGCCGGTAGGTCATCACTGTAACATGCTGTCTCTGAATGATTTCTGGTGTTCCTGACGAGACAGGACGGGGGGCGCCTTCACGGCTCTCCCTGTCACACTTAAACCCACCTTTACGGTGGCATAGAAGGGTTATCCCTCCAAAGTGCTGTACTCATCATGGGTGGCTTTTTCTGCAGGCACTTGAAAACTGCACCTCGCGCTTGCCCATTTTCCAAAGGGCACATACACCTGCGTGTGTAACTGACGAAACAATTTGCTGAAGTGTGTGTGTGTGGATATAATTCTTTGACAAAATGAAAATACAACAACAGGTTTCACTATGAGCCAATTCCGTCCTAGTGAAGCTCAGAACTGATCAATCAACCCTTGTACTTTGTGGGAGGCAGTAGGGTAGCCGAGTGGTTCAAGCCTTTGCTCGTAAAGCCGAAGACCCGGGTTCGATTCCCAACATGGCACAATGGTGCCACCTTTTGGTGTCCCCAGCCGTGATAATGCTTGATTATTGCTGAAAGCAATGTAACACCATATTCACTGACTCGTAGATTGTGGAAGAAGCGAGTTAATGTGTGGTATATCGATATGGGGCGACGGGTGTGAGACAGTGAGTGTTTGGGAATGTGAATGAATAGACTATAACCAGCGTGTGGTAGAGTGAGTGTTGGGGCTCCGGAACAGTCATACCTAGTGTAGGAGTTTGGTAGAGGTGGCAGTCATCTGTAGGCCGGAGTTCTGTGAGGTACAGGTCACAGAGGTCAGACAGGTCACAGCACACGGTGCGCGGCTCCACGTCTTCCCGCAGGAAGGCCGCGGGTTGCAGGAATGGTGAGTGCCGCACGAAGTGACCTCCTGACGGGTACTGAACCTCCAGCGATCCATACGCGTTGTAGCAACACCGCTGAATACATCCAACAAAGAAACAGGTGACACAAGGTTCGTGAGCGAGCGGAGGACAACCAAAATGGAACGTAAGTATTAGTTTTTTACGAACGTATGTACGGGTCTTTAGCGGAAAAATCAAAGAATAACATCGGGACGATTTGGGGAGTTTAACTTCAGGATTCTGATACGGTTAAAGGTTAAGAACTCTACCCAGCTAATTGCGATTCTTTTGACCACTGTCAATAATAACAATGGTTCTCGTGTTCATGCTATAACACCATAACTTTATAAAGCAACAATAGTTTGATTGTAACCTGAGGATGATTGCAGATATGAAAAAGAACCAATATTGGTACTTTTGCAATATTTATGGCCAGACATGATTACGTTGTCACTATGTCCTATATCCTTGGTTTAGATACAGGAATATGAGGCGATCTTTACCCTTGTAGCCGTAGTGTGGAAGCCTGGCCTGGGGAGAGTGGCGTAGAAACAACCATCCGTGTACACGGAGAACCTTCTATCCAGCTGAACCTGTGAGAAGCTGCACGGGCAGCTGTAGGCCTGAGCAAGCTCCTGCCGTATAACCCCGAGGTGCGTCCTCTCCTCCCGGTACCACCGCACACACTCCAGTGCGGGGTTCCTCGCCATCCGTGGGCAGTGCCCCAGCTTGTAGTACCATGCGCCGTTGTTGTTCCCCAAGTTGCCTGCAATAATCTCAACTGTGTGAACTATTTTACTCATGGCCCTTTTACAAGTCATACAAAAAATAAATATTCTCATTGTGAAGAGTTAGGTCATACATGTACACGATGTTTTGAAATTAGTATTGGACATATTGACCTACGTAAGCTGTCGCCTTTAACAGTATCTCTATTGTAGTATAAATCATGACGCCCCCAAATATGCACACAGGTGGCGATGATATTCTCAAATTCCATAATACATGACCGCTTGCTCTGGTAGAACATGTCTGATGCATAATTTAACTCAGTCCTTTGTAAAGTGATACACGACTGCAAACAGGTGCATTTCGTGAAACTGAAACATTGTTTCAGGTAGTAAATGTGTTCCGTTATCGTTACATCGATCTAAGGTCTCGATAGTGAAATGTCAGTAGACGAGAAATATAAGCGATAGATCCCTTTCCAAATTCATAAGAAGTCTCTGAATGTTCTGAATCAGATTTGCTGGGACTGGACCGAGCCTGAAACAATTGCAAAATGTTGTGTAAAGAGAATGAGCGAGTATGGCTTCACACCGCATTTAGCAATATTCTAGCAATATCACGGCGGGGGACACCAGTAATGAGTTTCACACATTGGACCCATGTGAAAAATAGAGTCCGATTCTTCAGCGTGACGAGCGAATGCTTTAACCACTACAGGCTACCCCACCGCGGTGCTTAAAAGTTTGTATAGTCGACATATGTCTTCGTAGTATTTATCCATATTGCTTTCGATACTTCGCATATAATACAAACTATAGACTGAAACACGCGTACGTCAATTATTTTGTAATAAGAAAAAGTATTTATGTACAAAAGAATATATTATTACTTCTGGTCACTTGTGTTTTCAGAATGAATAAAAACAATTTGAAACCTTATTTTACAATTTTTGTCTGGAATTGTGCATCTTGCTTCATTATTTCAAGGTAATATATAATATAAAAATACTATTTTAGTATACTAAAATAGAGACAACTCCATATTAGTGCACCACAACACTACAAGCCTCACCCATCTTCTCGCTGATCCTGAAGACGGATGGGGTTTCGCTGTAGGGGTTGTTCTTGTACACCTGTGGCCCACACTGCCACCCGACCACGGCGCTCCGTCCAGCATCCACTGCCCACCCCATGTCTCCGTACAGGTACACAGCGTATGTCTCGTCCCCGTCAGTCACAAGCAGCAGCTGGAACGTCGTGTTCTGTTGGAGAGAAAAACATCACCAATAAACCCCTCGGAGATTGACACATGGAATATAAACACGAATTAATCATTAATTTATTTTTCTATTTTCTTCAATGTTTTTATAACCATTAGGATATTAGAAGGATAAAATAAAACTAGACCTCAAATGATAACTATTGGGATTTTATATTTTTACATGACTAACACACAACTCATAGAAGGAAAAAAAGGAATATCAGGCCTCAATATTATTATTTAAAATTTTCTCTTTCAATATCTTGGTTAATTCGAAATGAGGCCACATTTGTTTAGGTATTTAAACTTGATATTTCTTGTTATCCTATTAATAATGGCCAATTACGAGTACCAAAAACTATCGTCGTGGGTTATGAAAAGGAGGGGCAGGGTGTGTAAATATTTCATGGTGTATGTTTATGTTCTCTCATGGTTTTAAGAAAATGAATGAAATGAGTTGACTGGAACAATACTTCATCACAATACTTTAAGCTGCACTGAGGCTCAAAGGAAACTATACCTCGCAGTTGACTTTATCATGTGTTTGATTTTCAATTGAAAATATCTTAAGCCAGCGATATCATATCCAAAAATGAACTGCACTGGCTCTTAGTCAGCACTTAAAGAATATGTCTACATTACTGTTGATGGGTATATTAGACACTGTGTCTTTGAAAGTCAACACTTTGCTTCGTTCGGCACAAATTTACATTTCAAACACTGTAGGGGTCTTGTGGTTGCAAATTCATTTCTTACCCCAGTCTTCGTTGAACTACCGTATTCGACGTAATAAGCGCCCCGCTCTAATAAGCGACAACGGCGATATTTGCTAATATATTGGCTAGTGAACAATCTCAGTTAGCACCCCTTCCGATTGATCAATGTACACAAGACTTATTTATTCGCGTATAATACGCACTCGTGTGTTATATGGACCCTTAATTATGGGCAATTAAATTCTGGATAAATATATCTGTCGTGTATAATACACACATACTCTTATTTTGTATCATTTCAGGCTGTCAGCATTACACACGAAATTTACAATCTTTCAACTTTCAAAGTTATATTCTAATAAGAGCCCCCTATTTCAAATTTTGAGAGCTCCCTGGGCGCTTATTACGTTGAATACGGTAATATTTGTACACAATATTACCCATCGATAGGTTACTAATTAGGACCTGTTGCAGGAATTAGTGATGGTCAAATAAACAGTTCTTTCAATTTTCAATTACAGACAAAACAAACTCGGTAATATTTCTTTTGCCCCTCAGTTTAAATCAAGAGGAGGCTGGAGACATAGTAGGAGCAGGGAGACTTTATATAAGTCTACATCTTAACGTTTGTATAATCTCTCTTGTATGATGCATAACCTTTAACCTTTACATCATGAAACGGTTTATCATCTTATCGAATTAAATACAGATTGTTGTATGATATTCATTACAATTTTAATTTTTAATATTCGAAAATAAAACTTAATATTTTTTATTTTTTTCTCTTCCTATATGGCAGTTATTCAACAGCCAATTTCACGGGTGCACGTCATGGTTGGCAAAAGGTAATTAATTCAATACCGGGATTTTTCATAAAAACTCGAAATTCTTTTCATGGATCTCTAATCAGCAAACGCCTACCTGGTAAGGAGCAGTTTGTAACGCCGGGTAAGGACTGACATGATCCCACGTGACCAGGAGGGCTGTTGTAATGGTGAAGTTCTCAGACACCGAGTCATGAGACTGCAGGATTGACACTGCTGACTTCAGGAAGTGTTCCGCCTCAGTGGTGTTTGAGACGGAGTATTTGTCGTACAGATGGTAGAATATGTCAGCGAATTTTGTCCCTTTCAGATCAATGTCAGACCAAAATGGCGCCACCATGTTATAATCACCAAACGGGAGCTTCTCCGGGTTAGAATTCACAAGAGTTTTGTCCATTGTAATATATCCGTCTGTATATACCTGTATAAATCAGGGGAGTAGATATGTCATATGTAGAGATGTCATTATAAACCCGACAGATTATTATAAATCTGCATAGATGTAATATATCATCATATACCTATATACGATATGTATAATGTCATTATAAGAATGTATAGACGTAATATGAAGTCATTATGTACCTTTATTCATGTGTAGGTATATACCTTTACATATGTCAGGAGATGTCAATTAATATTGCTCGTGATGTACGTAAATTGCCGGGCAAAAGAAAGTATACACCCATGTCTGATTTTTGCTAAAAATGATAGGTGATGTTGGTAACGTTTCGTGCATTTTAGGGGTTATCTACATATGCAAGGACTAGTTAAGAGCCAGATTATGTGGAGGACGACATATTTTAATATCTCCCTGGCTAGGATAATTCATACTGTCATTTTCTCTTTAACAGACTCAATCTGTGTAGATATGTAGCCGATACAGTTCTTAACAATTTTGGAAAATGTTTCATCAATTTATGGTCTGTTTTAAATGTACACATTATGAATGGCAGCTGTGGAACTGATTCCGGGACGCCACGAATCACACCATCTGCCTGCCAAAAAAGTCTTTACGAGGAACACCATCATTTGATAACAACCAACATTATCATTTTATGTTTAAGTTGGAAAAGCAGAACTTTTCAAAGAACGTTTGTTATCAGACACCTTCTGATACCTTTTACATAAAGCTATTGATTCTGTTTTTACACATTTTGATGACAGTCCATCTTTCTTTACAGAAGCTATTTGATGTTCAGGGAATGTTTTATAAAGGGAAGAAACCCCCAACAGGGAAATTAACAGTGGGTTGACTGGGAGTTATTAAAGAAGATGAGATGCACTCTTTTGAACCATTTTAGAAAAATATAGGATAAAGATTCACTTGCTAAGTATTCTGATTCGAAAAACAATTATAAAGCTATTTGCAGAAAAAAGTATGGAAAGAAACAGAAACAAATGGAAGAGAGTATCAGTTCATCCAAACAATTTGGACGACCTTGATCATGAAACATATAAGTAAAAGAAGGAAACTAAAAGTAATATAGAAATTCATGAGTGGTTTAATTATTTTAAGAATCTTTTCGCTGTTCTGATAGTCATTTTTCCTTAAATGTCGTCGAAGATGATATTGACTTTTCCTTTGTATGTTGTAAATATGATAATTAAGGAAATACTATATTGAACAAAAATATTATCTATATCCAAAGATATACAAGTTTCTCTCTATAATGTCACATTTCTTTCTTTCTAATTGGGTTTAACGTCGCGTCCAAGATTATTGCACAAATATAGCGACGTGCATGCACGTGTTTGTAGCTGCTTGTACTAGTCCGGACAAATGCCGATTTATAGTGCTAGCTCACTGAGATACCATACCGCAGTTTAACATGACACAGTATACTGACTCCGAGCCGACCAGTCCTTGATTTAGCCCCGTTATGCCGAGCGCCAGACAGGGTAAGAACAAGTACCATCTTTTTACGTCTTTTGGTATGATGCGGCCGGGGATCGAACCCAGGACCTTCCGTTCTCCGGCGGACGCTCTACCACTAGACCTCGGAGGCGGTCCTATAATGTCACATGTGAGCATAACGACTATACGAACTCTATCTCTATTTGTATATCATGCAATGTTATTGAGAAATGAATCCTCGTAAAAACTTTAACCACTTCCACATTTTCATGTATTGTGTCCCATGGGCCTGTGGCGTTACAGTTCTATATGAATGAACTAAATTGAAAAAGAATACAGGTAATTAGTTTCATACCAATAAATATGAAACAAGCATCCGTTAATATTTTTTGTACTTCAACAATTGTAACTATCGATGTAGGTAATTACAACTTTCCCTAACGCAAAGCACTTACGTAGATGTCGAGTATCCGCTGACAGCCACAAGTAAATCCAGTCGGAACGTTAATTGCGGGGCTATACACATCATCACCATGGGGAAGAAGTTTGTCCCCCTGGTCTTTTCCATATGGAAACAGTTCTGCAAAAATCACAAGGCAAACCGGTGCAGAAATACATGTAATTGATGTCCAAACATCTTGTTAAACATTATTTACTCAAATTTGATTGATTATTAATAATAATATAGACAAACAGCATATCAACAAAACATAATAATACCATTATTACTCCATTTATTTTATATACTATATGAAATTACGAAACGTTCTGAACTTGCCTTCAGCAATGACTCCGTAATAGGCATCTTTATGCTGGTTGCAATATTTATAGGATTACCAGTGGAAGATGTCAACTACTCTCTACTTCCTGTCGAAGACTCACTTAGTGCACTTGTAGTCGACCCTGGTGTGGATTGTGATGCTTTCGTTGAAGGTGATAAGGTAGAGGTTGGCGAACTGGAGGACATCTCACTGACGGTAGAAGTCGTGGATTCAGTTGATGCACTCTCTGTGGATGTCTCAGTGGGCGATGTCACTTCCTCCGTTGATGTTGTTGCAGAGCCTTGGGATGCAGCATACGTTCCTGAATTAGAGCCACTAGATGATTGTGAGGAGAGCTCGGTTGCGATTTGAGAAGGAGATGTTGAAGTCGTTTCTACAACTGATGAACTTTCGGTTGAAGAACTCTTAGACGATTCTTGTGTGGATTCCGATGTTATCTCAGTACTGAAGGAAGAAGTGGGTATGCTGGAAGAAATCCCACTTGTCAGAGAGGACATTGAAACTGTGCTTGTGGATCCTTCAGTGGATGATGTCCCCTTTTCTGTACTGGTTGTCGAAGGCTCAGTTGTTGCACTTGTAGTCGATCCTGATGAGGATTGTGATGCTATCGGTGAAGGTGATAAGGTAGAGGTTGCCGAACCCGAGGACATCTCACTGACTGTAGAAGTCGTGGATTCAGTTGATGCACTCTCTGTAGATGTCTCAGTGGGCGATGTCACTTCCTCCGTTGATGTTGTTGCAGAGCCTTGGGATGCAGCATACGTTCCTGAATTAGAGCCACTAGATGATTGTGAGGAGAGCTCGGTTGCGGTTTGAGAAGGAGATGTTGAAGTCGTTTCTACAGCTGATGAACTTTCGGTTGAAGAACTCGTAGACGATTCTTGTGTGGATTCCGATGTTATCTCAGTACTGAAGGAAGAAGTGGGTATGCTGGAAGAAATCCCACTTGTCAGAGAGGACATGGAAACTGTGCTTGTGGATCCTTCAGTGGATGATGTCACCTTTTCTGTACTGGTTGTGGAAGGCTCAGTTGTTGCACTTGTAGTCGATCCTGATGTGGATTGTGATGCTATCGTTGAAGGTGATAAGGTAGAGGTTGCCGAACCCGAGGACATCTCACTGACGGTAGAAGTCGTGGATTCAGTTGATGCACTCTCTGTGGATGTCTCAGTGGGCGATGTCACTTCCTCCGTTGATGTTGTTGCAGAGCCTTGGGATGCAGCATACGTTCCTGAATTAGAGCCACTAGATGATTGTGAGGAGAGCTCGGTTGCGGTTTGAGAAGGAGATGTTGAAGTCGTTTCTACAGCTGATGAACTTTCGGTTGAAGAACTTGTAGACGATTCTTGTGTGGATTCCGATGTTATCTCAGTACTGAAGGAAGAAGTGGGTATGCTGGAAGAAATCCCACTTGTCAGAGAGGACATTGAAACTGTGCTTGTGGATCCTTCAGTGGATGATGTCCCCTTTTCTGTACTGGTTGTCGAAGGCTCAGTTGTTGCACTTGTAGTCGATCCTGATGAGGATTGTGATGCTATCGGTGAAGGTGATAAGGTAGAGGTTGCCGAACCCGAGGACATCTCACTGACTGTAGAAGTCGTGGATTCAGTTGATGCACTCTCTGTAGATGTCTCAGTGGGCGATGTCACTTCCTCCGTTGATGTTGTTGCAGAGCCTTGGGATGCAGCATACGTTCCTGAATTAGAGCCACTAGATGATTGTGAGGAGAGCTCGGTTGCGGTTTGAGAAGGAGATGTTGAAGTCGTTTCTACAGCTGATGAACTTTCGGTTGAAGAACTCGTAGACGATTCTTGTGTGGATTCCGATGTTATCTCAGTACTGAAGGAAGAAGTGGGTATGCTGGAAGAAATCCCACTTGTCAGAGAGGACATGGAAACTGTGCTTGTGGATCCTTCAGTGGATGATGTCACCTTTTCTGTACTGGTTGTGGAAGGCTCAGTTGTTGCACTTGTAGTCGATCCTGATGTGGATTGTGATGCTATCGTTGAAGGTGATAAGGTAGAGGTTGCCGAACCCGAGGACATCTCACTGACGGTAGAAGTCGTGGATTCAGTTGATGCACTCTCTGTGGATGTCTCAGTGGGCGATGTCACTTCCTCCGTTGATGTTGTTGCAGAGCCTTGGGATGCAGCATACGTTCCTGAATTAGAGCCACTAGATGATTGTGAGGAGAGCTCTGTTGCGGTTTGTGAAGGAGATGTTGAAGTCGTTTCTACAGCTGATGAACTTTCGGTTGAAGAACTCGTAGACGATTCTTGTGTGGATTCCGATGTTATCTCAGTACTGAAGGAAGAAGTGGGTATGCTGGAAGAAATCCCACTTGTCAGAGAGGACATAGAAACTGTGCTTGTGGATCCTTCAGTGGATGATGTCACCTTTTCTGTACTGGTTGTCGAAGGCTCAGTTGTTGCACTTGTAGTCGATCCTGATGAGGATTGTGATGCTATCGGTGAAGGTGATAAGGTAGAGGTTGCCGAACTGGAGGACATCTCACTGACGGTAGAAGTCGTGGATTCAGTTGATGAACTCTCTGTAGATGTCTCAGTGGGCGATGTCACTTCCTCCGTTGATGTTGTTGCAGAGCCTTGGGATGCAGCATACGTTCCTGAATTAGAGCCACTAGATGATTGTGAGGAGAGCTCTGTTGCGGTTTGAGAAGGAGATGTTGAAGTCGTTTCTACAGCTGATGAACTTTCGGTTGAAGAACTCGTAGACGATTCTTGTGTGGATTCCGAT